TTTATTAGTTGTAACTTCCACAGCACTCATGCAACAAGACCATACAAACACACTGTTTACACAACCAGAACACACATCTGTACCAATGCCTTTACAAGACACTTCAGAACCACCAGTGGCTGCTGTTGTGGGGTTAACCTCTGACTCTGTTCATAACGATTTATCCTTTTTAGTGCGCTCTAGGTCACCATCGCCAAAGCGTCTAAAAAGGGACTGTGACAACTGTGTCAACAAGCAACGGACAAATCTGAACATGCTGAAGGAGAACAAAAGCTTGCGAATGCAGATAAAAACACTTAGACTGCATTACAGAAAGGAAAGAAAACAGATGTCTTTGAAAACTCTGAATGAGAAGATCAGGAGGCAATCACAGTCAGCCACTCTTTGGAGATCTAAATATGTCATGATAATGAGAGCATATACAGAAATGAGAAAAGTAAATAGACTGGAACGCAGGAAACAGCGAAAGTTACTCAAAAGGGTTGCTCCTCTTGAAGCATATATAGAGGAAAACAATTGTTTGAAAAAGCAGGTTACAATCTCAAAACGTTCAAAAAAAACAACAGAGACAGAGAGGGATCGTTTAAAAAAGGAAATTGATGAAATCAGACAGGAGTCTAAGAAGTTTCTCTTGAACATTCAAGAAATGAACACCAAGCTGCGCAAAGAAAGAGAACATATTTCATATTTGGAAAATGAAGTAGCCAAGTTGGAAGAATCTTTAGCTGATCATCGCAATATTGTAACAAAAGAAGCAGGAAAATATTTTCACAGATTTCGCCAGTCAGTCTATGAGTGCTTGATGCATAATGTCAGTGTTGCAAATATTTCACGTGTGTTATCGTCTATTTCAGGAATTGTCTTTAACAAAATTCTTTTAAATGTTCCCTCTGTATCCACAGTAGCACAGATGGTGTATGAACTTGGGGTACTTGCCAACATTCAGGTTGGCCAGATGCTGCATGAGTGCGATGCTGCTACACTGGCATGGGACTCAACAACCAAACAAGGATCCCATATTAATGAAGTTCATGTGACTCTTATGACATCAGGTCGTAAACAGTCTTTAACTTTAAATATTAGGGTTATTTCAGGGTCTACAACAGAACAGCTGTACCGGCACGTCTTTGAGGCTCTATCTGATGTTTCTGAGATGTACTGTGACGCTTTTAAGATTCCAGTAGCTGCTTTCAAGGAGGCAGTGAAAGGTAAAATAAACAGCACCATGACGGACAGAGCTGCTGTCAACCATTGTGTGAGCCAAAAACTTCAGGGGGACATCGGATATTTGGCCGACCTGAAGTGTATGGTACACCCATTGGATGGTCTTGCCAGAACTGCCCGTGATGTATTGTACAAGCTTGAAAAGGATCACATTACAGAGCAAGACAATCAGAGAACAGCCTTGGGATGTCGTGCTGCAATGCTGATTCACCAGATATCAAAATTGCGTCACAAGGATGGGTCTGGTGATCCAGGTGCATTCATTGCTTTTTTGCAGAACAAAAATATCAATCCCAGCATCTTCAAGCGCTATGTCGGGAATCGTTTGAATGTCATGTTCCATATGGCAGCGGTCATTTATTTGCACAGAGATTTATTGACACAGTTTGTCGAGCACAAACGGCCAAAATTACTTTGTGTTAAAATACATGAAAACTTGACAGACGAGAGAGTCCTGCTTCACTTGCAGGTGCTGGGATTATATTCACGTTTTGTCACAGGGCCTTGGATGCAGCTGTTATATACAGACAACAGTGAAATTGGTCATTTAGAAGCAGTAAGTCAGGTGAAGGATTGTCTCGAAGGCTTGAAGATAGTTGAAGCGAAACCAGAGTACCTTATAGAAACGGAACGTGATGCTTTTGGTAGGGATTTGCGTAAGACAGCATTGAACCAACCTCAGTTTCCATGTGAAAATTTTAACTTAGTATCCAAAAATTTAGCGGAGGCTTTTATTCAAACACTTAATAGGCAGTTTAAACCTTATTTAGATGGGCCCTTATCTAATCCGTCTCCTGAATTGATTAAAAAGACATCATCTGCAGAATTCCATAACATAGGGGCTGAGAGAAATCTTGCAAGGGTGGATTCAGTGATGCAAAAAGCTCCCAATGCCACCATGGGGTTCATTGATGCAAAGGTGAAGGCTGCCCAAAACAAAACATTGCAATGGCTGCAGACATTTGATGACGACTTCCAAAAGTACCTGGTAGACTTTGCAGTTCGTCGTGGAGCTAAGGTGAGGCAGCAGCAGTCTGAGGTACAGAAGAAATGTCAGCAGGAAAAATTAGAGAAGTGGGACAAGGCACTTAGGGATAAATGTGAGAGAGATCTGACAGCAGAATTTAAAAAATCCAAGTCCATGTTTGCAATACTTGAGATAGATTTGTTTAAAAGTGTAGCTGAGGAGTCAAAAGATATGTTAAGGAATTTTTTTAGTGACACTAATGCTCTGTCAGGTGTGTTACTGCGGCACATCTGGAATGATGGAGAAAAGGACTGTGTTTACTTCGAGATGATAAGAAATGTGGACACAAATAAAATTCCTCTCAACACGGAAATCGAACTTTGTTCTTGGAAGGAGCACGAGGAACAAGCAGCAGAGACCTCCTTCACCTTGACAATGAAACAGTTTCTAGCAGACTTCGCCACTGGAGATTTGACATTTTGTTAAACTGAATGTCATATATAAAACAAAGCAATAGAAATAAATTAAGCATTTGTATGTTAGAGTAATAAAAAAGTCATGTAACACTCTCTTTTATCTTGCATTGTTTAACAATTTAATAAAGCACATTGTCTAGTATTATTTCAGAACAGCGTCAGGGATGATACAGGCTTCTAAGGGTAGAAGTAAGGCTATCCTCCGAATAACGGGTACAAAAGATGGCGGCCAATGCCGGCCTCAGTCATGTGTCAGTTTCGCGCTCCCGTCGACTTAATTTGCGGTTTTCCGATTACCGCCACCACTTAGAGTCCCTACGTCCCTCATGAGCGGCGTGGGGAAATCTTGCGGTGGTGGTAGTCGCAGGAAAACCGCAAATTAAGTCGTCGGAAGCGTGCGACTGACACGTGACTGAGGCTCTTTTTGGATATTTTTGTGCCCATTATTCTGAGGATAGCCAGAAGTAAACTTCCAGACATGGACGGTGAAAAAAGATAAGTAGTTATAATTTCTTTATCTTATTTTTTATGGTTTGTTAGTATAAAATATATGTAATTTTTTTTTTTATAGCAATTACTTACTTATAAACCTCAATCAATGCACATACAATTAATGAAATTGTTGTTTTAAAATGTTATATTGAATTGTTTGTGTGTGTATATATATATATATGTTATTTATAGTTACTTTTTTTTCTTTTTCAGGCTTGCATGATTACAGAACTGTCAGCTTTTTAAACATGGACGAGTGAAAAAGGTAAGTCGTACAAACATTTGTGGCTAATGCTTTTTTCTGATGTATTGTTGCACAATTAATGAAATTGTTGTTTTAAAATGTTATATTGAATTGTTTGTGTGTGTATATATATATATGTTATTTATAGTTACTTTTTTTCTTTTTCAGTCTTGCATGATTACAGAACTGTCAGCTTTTTAAACATGGACGAGTGAAAAAGGTAAGTCGTACAAACATTTTAACGGAGACTTTTTTCTGATGTATTGTTGCACGATTATTTAAAAAAATTGTTTTTTAAATGACTACTGCATTATTTGTATATGCATTATTTCACTAATATTTTTTTTTCTTTTTTTTTTTCAGACTTTTACCATGACGTAAACCTGTGAGAAAGATACAAACTTCTTTTAGTCATGTTACGAGAAGAGCGGCATTGGTGATTAATAAACAGATTAACATATACATAGACAATAAAGATTAATGCACAGATATGTTGATGGCTTGTTGATTGTTCTGTTCAGACTCCACCATTCAACAACAAAAATATAAATTAGACACCATATTGAAAAATAACTGACCAGAGAGCATGACTTAAATTTATCAAATCAAAATTATCATATGACTTACATGATTGTTCTATCAGGGTGAGAAAAAAATTTGCTCTGGATATATATAATATACCCACAGCAAATAGTTTTCCCATATAACAAAAAAAAAAAACATTAAAATTTTTTTTAATTAAAATATTTTTTCATGATAATTGGCGGCCATTTTTAAATAATATTAGTCGATATGATGTAATACCTAAAAATTTCCAGATATTCAGTTAGACATTGCTGCCCTGAACACAACAGTATCTGTTATCTTTGGTCTATTTTTAATACTTTAAAAGAACGTTATAAAGTTTACGAGAACATATCGACTGATGATTATGATAAATGGCGGCCATTTTGAATAATTATTAGTCGATATTGCGTAACTACTAAAAATTTTATGTTTGTTCGGTTAAAGCTTGTTGCCCTGAATCCAAAAATATATAGTTTCTAGGGTCTGTTTTAAATACTTTATAAGTTAAAGCAGTTTTTAAACACTACTCTAAAACTTCTGATTTCTGGGCAGCAAGTTTCAGCTCACTTTTATATTTTCTTCTTTGTTAACTTTTCCCACAAAAACTTCAATAACTCTGCTTAGACTTGACATAGAGGCATGAAAGAGGCACCGTTGGAAAGGGTTTTTCAATACGGATGCAGCTGTACTTGTTTTATGAGGATAAAACGATTTTGGATTGGATTGGATTTTTTACCCCACCAGGACATCACACAAGCGATAAACACCCGATGACACAAAGTGCCACCATGCGGATGAGGATCACCGTGGAGAGGTCCCAGAAACCGCGTTCAGACATTTGGCCATAATGATGACCTGCCTATATTGCGGCCCCTGGCAAAAGCCAGAGTGGGGCTTCAAATAACAAAAAATAACGTCCTAAGAAGGACGAAAAGCAGTAATAAAAACGATTTTGAATTTTGAAAATTTGACCAAAGTTGCTAAAAATAAACTAAGGTAAATTAGTAAACAACACAACTATGTTTTATACCATGTTCTCTTGCCGGTGTATCAGGGACGTAATTGAAATGCATACATCTTGTTGACACAGGCGTCTGATTAAGTACGGGAGACTTCTTGCTCAATAAACTGCTTGTGTTGGAAAGAAAACGTAAACAGCCTAACCTGCCTGCCATGTTGTTTTGGTCTGCTTACCTTTGCTCCCTCGGCCTAGACCAGTGTTGCCACTTTTCTTTGACAAAAAAGATCCAAAACGGGGTTTAAAAATATCTAAAAAGATCTAAATTTGCGTGGAAAATATTTAAAAAAAATATCCAAATGAAAAGAGTCACAAATTACAAAACTATTTAAATGACTTACCCTATAGACACATGTCCTCATCTTCACTGATGTCTGCTTCACAAGATCCACAGGATAAACTTAGCTTGGATGATGAAGTTGAAGCTTCAGATCCCAAATTACTCTGGTATGCTTTAGCTGTTCCAATTTCTTTTAATACACAATCAGGGAGCTGATAAGTGGAACAGCATTTTCCTACTCTCATCAGGCAAAACTTTATTGTCAAGATAGCATTTAAGAGGTCTAATTTCATCCTGTTTCTTAGGTTAGATTTGATGTAATTCATAGCACTGAAAACTCTTTCTACGTAAGCATTTGAGTTGGGTAGTATCATGGCAGACATGGCACATTTAAAGAGTTTACAGAATGGACTGTTTGATGAGGCATCTTTAAATTGTCTCACTTCACTCCAAAACGCTTCAGTTTCTGTTTTGTTTGTCCATTCAACTAAGTTTATTTTGGTTAACTGATATTCTGCTTCCGCGACACTATTGTCAGTAGCCCCTAAAAATTTCATAACTTTACAATATTTAGGTATGTCCTTTACTGGCTGAAGTATGTTGCTCACAGAAAAGAGTGAAATACATCTAGATTTTCAGGAAGTCTCTGCTTTAGTTGCTTGAATAATGAGATAAGGAAATCTTGACAGCGTTTTCTTAAGTTGTTCTCTTCATTCTCTGTTAACAGTCCTTTTGTTTTTAAATCATCAATTTTTGATTCAATTTGATATCCAAGGTATGGCTTAAGAGCCAAATAGCTCTCTATAGTGCAAGTGAGCAAATCAACTTTTGAAGTTGGCAACACCAGTCTTTTACCAACTGAGTAAAATAGCAAAGTGAGATCGTCAAGTAATTTAACTTTATCAACATGTTTGGATTCGAACAGTTTATTAACTTTTTGCACTTCCATTAGAATAGGTTGTAAAAAGAGAAGGAATGCCAATTTTTTTTCATCACTGTACATTCCATATAGTATCTCAGTTGTGTAGCACTTTTCACTTTGTCTTGTTATTTCAAAATGTGTCTTTAACTCCAACCATTGGTTCACAATTCTTTCAACAGCTGGTTGTATTGATAACCACCTGGTTTTGCAATCTGACAGAATTTTCAGTGGCGTGGAACCATTATTTAAGGCTGAATACAATGCATTGTATTGCTGTTGTCTGACAAATTATTTTGAAAACCAGTTATGTGTTTCAGCAATAAGGTATTCCAAATTCCTTGGTAAACATTCAGATGAAGCATGTGATAATGCTAGCTGCAATGAATGACACATACATTTTATAAGTATTAACGATGGGATAGCTTCCTTCAACTTGGTATAAACGCCATTGTTTATACCAACCATCACTGAGGCATTATCGGTACCAATTGCAACCAAATTTGTCAAGTCTAACTGTTTGCTGATTAAAAGGTTCTTCAGTTCTTGAACTATACTTTCTGCATCACACTTTTCCAATTGAACTAGTCCAAGATATGTAGAAACTACTTTGTCTGTATTGTTGCTGTAATATATAATACACACACCAAGCACTTTCAGTACCGAAGTATCATTTGATTCGTCTAATAATAAACTATATTTATTTGTAGAAATATCACTGATCAAATCTTTTTCGAAGTGAGAAAATAAAGTATTTCTTATAATATGTGTACACTAGCTGCGATGCATTTTCACATCATCCACAACTTTACTGTCAGAAATTGTGTTTTTAAACAAATCAATCAAATGGTCAGTTTGAAATTGCACAATGGCAACTTAAAAACATTGCGACCGACCCTTCAACTTTTGATGATTCATTTATCAGTGTAGTTCTGAAAACAGATGTCAGCGGTGTAATATCTTTGAATGGAACTGCAGTTTTATACTTGTTAGTCTCTGCATGCTTCTTTAAGTCTTGTATTTTCGCTTTAATTTCACACTTGCAGTACTTACAACGAGCTTTGGTTATATCCCCAGGAACTGCCATCACCCAGTCTTTAATTTTGTCATCATGCAAATACTCTTTCCGAAATTTTTACTCATACTTTACTTTGGCATGTTGAAAGGTTTTTTCAAAGTGAAAGCCACACAAGAAGGTGAGCAATTATTTTTTAAATATCACATGAAAAAGAAACACAGAGTCAGCATCACAGCTATATTTCACAACACAGTGAGGATACGGTTGAAACAAAGTTAGTATGATTTACGCGCGATTTCGATTAATCAGCACCGGGGTTGTCAGATATTTGAGTGTTGACCTTAGTAAGAGTTCAAAGTTTAAGTAATGGCAGTTGCCACAATGTACGTGCCAGACCAAAACAAAAATATTTTAGTAAATATTTTACTCAATAATTATTAAAATGACACTAAAATAAAAAAATCTATAAAATATCTAACTCCATATGAAAAGTATCTAGAAAAATATTTAGTATCTAAACGTCAAAAACAGGATCTAAACGCAATGAAAAAGATCTAAATTTGGATACAAAAGATCCAAAGTGGCAACACTGGCCTAGACCTCGGCCTAAAACTCGTTCTTTCGTAGAATTTCTGCTTCGATTATCATTATTATTATCTAAAATTCATGATAATTTAGAGTTACTGTTTTAAATTTCTTGGACAGCGAGAATGGGTTATCTTGGTGTTTTAAGAAAGAAGAGGGCCAGAAAGACAACTGGCACAGACATCAGAAGGAAAAAGCCATTGTTTTATTATACAGACGTGGTGACGGACAGGATCCAGTGGAACCATTAAAGTAACATAGGAAATGATTAATTTTTCTTTGAATTCAATATTTTATTTCAGAAAGCTTCCAATTTTCTATGTCCTTTAAAGATTAGCATCTTATTTTCTGGAATTTGCAGTCAATAGTCTAGGCTCTTTTAAGATCGACGTCTATCTTCAGGTACTTTCAGTATTCTATGTTCTGGGATCAACATTTTATCTCCATGTAGAGGAATTTTGTATTTTCCATACTTAAAAATTTAATCTTCAGCAACTTTCAATAGTCTGTGTTCTCTTCTGCAAGAAGAAAGTCTTGTTGGCTATCCAGCACTTCTACACCGCCACGAAGCTCATGGATTGGAGGTTCTTAGTTCAGTTGCACGTATTCCATTCTAGGCTGATTCTCCAGACACGAACGGGTTGTTTCACTTAGTGTATCGCGAAAGGCTAGAACTTTTTTGTGACAACGCAAGTTGAGATGAGTCAGCGTTGATAACAGTTCAAACACACGTACACGTAAACAACTAATTGCACAATTTATTGCCTTGTATATTTCGATGTGTGCAATCAGGTGCATATTTTGTAAGTCAACATAACATGTTGTTACATATCGTCACCCACTTGTGGGATGCAATATTTACTTATTTTGAAGCCCCACCCTGACTTTCGCCGGGGACCCTTAACACTGTAGGGCCTGAAAAACGACCTAACGGCTGAACGGGGTTTGCTGGACCTTTCCACGTGTGATTCTTATCCGTATGGTGGCACTTTGTGTCACAGGGTGTTTAACGCTTGTGTGATGTCTTAGTGGGGTACAACATACAAACCTACATAACGTGTTATGCCATTAAGAATAATTTTAGTGGTATTAAACATACCATTTCCCCTTTGCACAACATAAATATTATTACACTGATATCAAAGTCTTTTTCTTTGCAGACCTATGTTGAGTGCCGATTGGTCAATAAAAATATGAGGCCAGCTTGATATGCTGGATGCAGTGCTGGCATAAGAAGGTCCCTTATTTTAATTTAACAGTTATCTCCCTTGGTCCTCAGTCTGTGAAGAAAACTGGGTGAGTTCTCATCTCACATGAGGCACCCAAAACCATGGGTTTTGGTGCTGAGCTGGCTGCCACCATACAGGTAGGTCTTGTGTGATTTTAACAACCCCTATTACTGCACAGATTCTTCTTCTTCTTCTTCTTCTTCTTCTTCTTCTTCTTTTTCTTCTTCTTCTTCTTCTTGTTCACCGGCTGTAAATTCCGGCGGTAAGTCGCGGTTGTTCGTCCAAAATGGACTTCTGGCTTTTACCTTGACCTGAGTTTTGCGTGTACACTTATTCTCAATTTCGTTCTTTTCAGGACGAAATTTTTTGTCATTTGAAGCCCTACTCTGGCGTCTGCCAGGGGCCGCAATATAGGCAGGCCATACGTATGGCCAAATGTCTGAACGCGGTTTCTGGGACCTCTCCACGGTGATCCTCATCCACATGGTGGCACTTTGTGTCATCGGGTGTTTATCGCTTGTGTGATGTCCTAGTTGGGTAGAAAGTCAGTCAGTCAGTTTGCGTGTACATCCGTTTTACTGGCTTATTTGTTCGCAGTTCTCGTTCCCCGCCTCTCCGGCAGATGTACTCCGACTTCGGAGGAAGACGTCAAGCCTATTTCTAGGTTGACTGTGGCCATTGTTTTGTGTGGGTCGAGATGTTGCCTCATTTGTGTGGTGTCCTGACTTTTAACATGTGTGCCCCCCCCCCTCCCTGGAATGTCGTCCTTAAGGCAGCTCTATGTAGAGTTTTCAGCCCTCAAGGGAAGGCAGGGGCAGATCATGGGCATTCCCCGCCATCCAAGGAGGCTTCCATAAATGCAGAGCCGACACATGATGCTCTGGTTCTGGGCTCACCCAAGGAATCGTCACGTCCTGCCCATGACTGCTTAACCTCACAACCGTGTATTGAGCTTCCCGCACTACAAGGCTACGCTCTACGGAGATCAGCGGGGAGCAGCCCGCAGGTCTAGGACGTTTGTGGCCACACAAATAGGTACATTCTTTTTCATCTTACGTTAGACACCTTTAACGTTGTTTCAGCTGTGCCCTTAGCACGGCAGAATGGGGAAGCAAAATGCGTCAGG